ACAGAGTTTGGCACACATTAAGTGTTTAAGAAAATGGTTTTTCCTTCATCGTTACATTCTTTACACAACCATTGTTTCAACTGCCCAGGCTTATTAGAACCTTTGCTTTCTCCTTTACCCTCCAATAAGCCATGTCTGGTCTACCTTTCCTCTGTCTCTTACATTTACCCCTCCTTTCCCTCTCCACTGATATCATCCTAGTTCAGGCCCTCCTTACCTCTTGCCTTAGCTATTATAAGACTGTCCTTACTAATCTTCTCGACTCCAAACTCTTCACTTGCCCATTCATCCTCCAAATCCCTGATAGAGTAGTCTTTTAAAAACACAGGTATGTGATGCAGAGCAAAGTGAGAAGAACCCTGAGAACAAGGTGTACTATAGCAACAATGCTGTACCAGCCTAAAACACAATTCTGATAGTGTTGTTTTCTTGTAGAGTCTCTCCACTGCTTGCTAAAATACAAACACCCTAGACTGCTGGTCTAGACACTCCTTGACAGTCTGACTCTGACATACCTTGACAGCCTGATGTCAGATGATGTAACAGCCAAACTGAACTATTCTTCCTTCCCCCATATTTTTCTGCTCACTTCCAATTCTACTCTTTAGTGCCTTCCAAACCCAGCACAGTAATTCAACTCCCCCTGTTTTCAGTCATTAAATCCTTCCCTTTCTAAAAGAGTCATCTCAGGTGCCACCTTCATGAAGTCTCCCTTGGTCCCCAGAGCTGGAAGTGATCCATCTTTCCTTTAATGTCTTGCAGATCAAATGAGATAATATTTATGAAGTTCTTTGCAAACCTTAAAGTGATATAAGTACTAGCTATTATTAGCTACTGTTATTGTTATGTCTCTCTGATCTCCCTGCTGCACTTGGCATATTCTAACTTGCATTATAGTTGTCTTCTCTTTTTACTAGATTGGAAGGGCATATGCTATGTTATATTTAATCTGTATCCATGCTGAATGTTTGCTATAGTCATCATTGGATGCTTCTTAGTTGCTTGTTAATGAAGTTGTCAGTGCTGCTAGAGACCCTTGGAGGTTTTGTGTGCCTTGGGAGAAGTGAAGAGTTCTATGATATGTCAGGTATACTATTTTAGGACTATTATTCAGCTCCTTGGCCCTAAGATCTGTGCCAGGCTGGAGAAAGCTGCTATGATATCTGGGTAGATGAGAGGGATAACTCTTTAAATTTCAGGTGAATCTCACCATAGGAAAAGGAAAAAATGAGGATTTGGAGAGGGAGAAAGAGGGGGGGAAGAGGAAGTGAGATAAAGAAGGAAGATAAAGAGGAAATGGAGAGAAAGGGAGATGAGGAGGGAGAGAGGAGATAGAAAGAATGGAAGAGGAGAGAGAGAAATAAGGAAGAGGAGAGAAAGAGAAGATAAGGAAGAGAGGAAAAAAGGAAAAGAGAAAAGAAAGAAGGGAGAAAGGAGAGGGAGAAATGAAGAAAATAGAGGAAGAAAGGAGAAAAGAGGGGAAAAACGGGGAAAGTGGAGGAAAGGAGGGGAAGATAGAGGTAAGGAAGGAGAGAAAGGTGAAGAGATGGAGAAAGGAGGATGAGAAGAGAAGGGGAGAAAGAGAAGAGAGAAAGGAGAAGGAAGGAAGAGGAAGGGAAGAGAAGGGGAAAGGAAGAGGAGGAGAGAGAAATAGAAAAAGAGAGGGGGGAGGAGAGAATAATACTTTTAATATTGCTGGGGAAAAAAGGAATTCTGCCATTCTACTCACTATTCTGCTCAATGAGCATATGCCCCAGAATAAGTAGGTGAGATAGACATAAACCTATCCCCTCCACTTTTGATGTCAAGTATCCTCCTCCCTCTGGGGAACCTGCTGAACTTATAAAAAGTGATCTTACTTCCTCCCTCCAAGAGAAGTTATTGACGGGGAACAGGTAAGTGAATATCACCAAAAATCCATAAAAGTTAAAAGGAAACCTAAGTAAATAGAGGCACATTTATGGAGTTGAACATGGAACACTGTGTCTGGGGAGCAAGTGAGCAGCATGCGTAGGAGGAACTTGGTGCTCAGGCCAGCACTGCTTTGCCCCAGCCTGATGACTCAGCCCTTAAAGGCAATCTTGGATCATAAAATCATAAATTCAGAGTTTAAGAGACTCCGTCCCTAAAATTACGGTCTGGCTTGCTAACTTCCTTCTCCTTCATGATGGAGACTGTTCATTTTAGCAGCCTACTGACAGCAGTATGAGGATTTTTGGATTTTCCCCTGACTTTAGAACTGATCCCTATATAGGGTCCACTTCTACTGTAAACTGTATGACTATGTTAAAGCATATTCCTTCAAAAAAGCCTTGCTTTTTAAAAAACCACACACACACACGCACTTATTTCATATGTACACACATACACATATATACATATACCCCGATACATATATGTGTATTATATGTGTATGTGTACATATGTATGTATATTCATATATATACATATATTTATATATGTATGGAAAATTTTCTACTGGTATATGAAACTTTTCCTGTAGAAGGAAGAAAATCACAGGGAGTTGGGAAAGCTTAAAGAGATTGAGATTACATTCACACTGAATTGGGCTTAAGAAAAAACTACATTGAGTTTGGAAAGTAGGTTTTGATTGAAAACAGGAGGCAGGAGCATCAAGGAATGACTCTGGTAAAAGTCATATCTTTTAAGAACCTCTTTTCATTTCCCCCCCCTCCCGCCATAAGACCTCATACAGACAGCCTGGGAAAGGCACTTGTGAGTTTCCAAGTGCTTACAGGGCAGTGACTTCAAGCAGGAAGTCAGGCGATGCTTCCAGTTGACTTAATTTAGCAACTGTCTGTGGTGCTTAGTGTGAATCTGCTGTTGGAGGTTCGTTCTCCCCTTTGAGATAAGATATAAAAAAAACCATAGCCTTGAGGCAGTCACCAAGACACCACAGAAAGCTCTTGGCTCTTCTCACAGGAGTTGATATTCTAACAGTCCCACTGGAAGCACTCACTGCTCGATGCGTTATGTCCTCCAGTAATGCCAACATAGTATTGACTGGGAATAGGTAATTGAATATCATCAAAAGTACAATTTGTCTACCCCTCTCCCCACCCCCCAAAAAGAAGCAACACCCCTTATTCTCCTATACTTAAAATATGAAATTTTATATTCTGAATGTCTGCCTTTTGAGGAATTAGAAAATAGTGCCAATGAATTCACAGACAGATGTGTTGGGATCATCATGAAAGAAAGGAGGAATGTCTAAATTTGTGTTACTATTGTAATTTCAACATGGTTTTGTGTTTCATCTTGCCTGATTCTTGCATGCCAAGGGAAAGATCAGCCTTTGGTGTCTCAGAACCAGACAGTGACCTTTGGCGGACAGATGGGTTTCATCTGAAATATGATCACTTTTCTGAAGGATAACCATCCATGCACTTCAACCCCTGTTTTAGTTTGTCAACAGTGACAGCACTTGCCTCTGACCTTGTTAATATGAGAGGTGTGTTGTGTTTTCTTATCCGGGAACTGAGATTCATTTAGTATCAGGCATTTAATTTGATGTGAAAACAAGCTGTAAGAATCTGAGAATAAGGGTTTGTTATCTTATTGAACTTTTTACTTTGATTTCCACCTAGCTTGCAATGTTTTTGAGAAGCTGAGAAGGGTAGCATTCACGTTTTCAATGTAAATCTTCTCTCAAAGATGCATGAATACAAAGTGATTTTAACCTAAGATCATCCCTTTATCTGGAATGAAAATATTAGTGATACCTCCTGATATTCCGAATGGGGCTTTAAAAAAAAAAAGAAATCATGTATATGTTCGTAATCCTGAAATGTCAGAGTGACGTGAATTTTTGTTGCATAGTTCTTTAATATATTTTTTAATGGTTAACCTAAAAAGGAATTCAGGTCAATTCAACCAATGTTTATTATGCACAAAATGTGCAAGGCATTGTCTTAAGCACTGAAGACACAATGCTGACACATAATCCCCAAATCTGCTAAGCAGATATGACCCATACACAAATACAAAGCATAGCTGATAGCTGTCAAAGGAGAGAGACTAACAGAGTACTTTAGGAAAATTTGAAGATGGAGTGAATACTAAGTTCAATGAGTAGTATCAGGGAAGGCTCCATGGAAGAGGTGACACCTTGAAGAAGAAAAGGGATTTTAACCAGTAGAGTTAGAGGGAGTTTGTGTTAGACATGTGTAAATGTTTGAAAGTGGAGAAAGTCTAGGAGTCCAGTTTTGTTGAAATGTAGACTATGTGAAAGACAGTAATTGGGGTAAATTGTGCATCCTTGATCATTCATAACTGCCTTGGTTTGACATGATTCCTCCATGTTGATGATTAGAAAGTGTAGGATTTTTGTCTTATACTTTTATGATTACTGTCTTGACTGAATCGTTTAGAATAATAATGCTCAAACTTTTTGGTCTCAGGACTCCTTTACCCTCTTAAAAATTATTGAAGACCCCAAAGAATTCTTGTTCATATCTATCCAGCTGCTTATATCTAGCTAGCTAGCTCAGTATCTATTGCTATTTACCATATAAAAATGGAAATGTCTTAGTATTGTTAGGAAAATAATTTTGACCTCACAGACTCCCTAAAAGGGTATTGGGGACCCCAGGAGTCAATAGACCATTCTTTGAAAACACTGATTTAGGAGGTGTATTCCTGACATGATTGTTTATGAGAATATTATGTAATATGCATTCAAATGAGACAAGGGCTGTGACTGTGCTTTGTATATTTAAATATGATACAAATGGGAGGTTTATGATCATTTTCATATTTGAGTATAAGGTGGTAATAATGGAATTTGAAAGGAAGGTAATTAGCAAGTATCTTCTGTCCAACATCAAAGTTATTTTTCAATTCCCCTGCCAATGAAACCTATTGGTTTTTTTTATATGTGATATAATTTATACTTATTTGGAGGTATTTTAGAGATAAGAAATTTGATCATTTCAAAGAGTTGGTCTTTTGACTTTTATTACCTTCTTCCTGGTGTGAAGATGACCACCTCTATCCAACACCTCTTGACCAGCACAGTGAACAGCCTAACATCCACCCCCCGGATCTTCGTGCAACGAATTTACCTTCAAGGGGTGAGAAAGTGCTTGATTTCAGGTGGTCTGCACCTCCCACCTGCACGGCTTCCATTACATAATACAAATGTCTTGCAAATGTACTTGAAGAATGATGCGCTGCTGACTGCTGCCATCTCGGAGCCAGGCCTGAAGTCCCTGAGCATGTGCAGCCAGCCAATGGACAGCTCTTTCCTCCTGGTTACTCCCTTCTGTGCTCTATGAACAGGTTCCATTTTCAGCAACTCTCCATGCTTCAATATAATCGCTCTTGCTGTCCTTTCCTTCCAGGGCATTGCAATGCTTTCTAAGACATTCTCTTGGGCCTAGGATGTCATCATTTGGTTTTCATGTAAAAGCACAGTGACAACATCATAGCAGTGGAAAGATACTATGCGGATAGGGCTTTGCCATCAAAGGGCCAGCTTTTCCCAGATAGATTGTAGAAGTGATTTTTTTTCTTTTGAATATAGACTATTAAGCCATCTAACAATCAGATCATAAGCCAATTTCCCCAGTCTAAGGTGTATTTTACAATACAATTTCTCTTCTGAGAGACTATGTCCTTCATGCAGACATAAATTCAGGAACTTCCAGAGAGTTTAGGTAAATGCTGCCAAAATGTAATTGGGATATTTTCTGCATTTAGACTTTGCACAAGGAGTTGGTCAGTGAGCATTTATTGCTTACTGTGTGTCAAGTACTGTGATTAGGATACAAATTCAAGCAAAAAAAAGTTAATATTTGCCTTCAAGGAGTTTACATTCCAATGTGGGAAAGACAACATGTACAAGAAACTGAAAAAGGATAAGGTGACATGGTGATGATGTCAAGAACCTTAGGGCAATGGAGACCCAGAGTCACCAATGGTGGGCACAGAATTTTTTTTAAATAAAATTTTGATGATATATTTTTATATTCTTAGATTATTAAAATTTACTGACATTCTACCACTATGCTTAAATCAGAACCAGTTTAAACGTAAACTGCTGGCACTCCCAATCAATTCCTAGATTAAGCTTAAAGCTACAAAAAATGTAATGCTCTGTAAAATATTCTACTTGATAACATATAGGGTATGATCCAACGGGACTAAAATTTATAGACAGGTTGTGAACCACCACAGTGGAGGGAGTTCCCTTTCTAAAATCAGTGAGAGAGTTGCTTGGACCACTGGGAGGTTAATTCACTGCCTAGGGGTCACATAGCTAATATATGTCAGAGGCTGAACTTGAACACAAGTCCTTGTCATAGTGACATGTAATCCAATATGGATGGAAGGTATGCTAAAGATTGAGAGGCTTGTATATGAATCTTACCCAGAGATCTTAGGCCTTGTTTGGCACTTACATTTTCTCCTCTTTTTCTGAAATGGAATATAGCTCTGCAGCCTGGCTTACCTCCTGAACCTGCTTTCCTTTTCAAGCACCTGAACCACCCAACTTGCTTTGACATGTGGCATTTGTAATGTGTTCATCGTGGTTATACGTGCCATTTCTATATTGTGTACAAAGTTGTAGCATTATGATTTAAGTGGCTTAACTCTATAATTCTCTAGTTTTGAATTAAGTGGGTGACTCCATAACATAATGGGACTCATTAAACACCCTTTTACCCCCGTCCTTCATTATAATTCATATCACATTTTAAAGTTCTGAAGGAGCAAGAATAAAGTTAATATATTTTTAAAAGACATAAAATTTCATTTTAATTTACTTAGGTTCCCTTTAATCTTTTGTGGGTTTTTAATGTTCATTTTCCAGTGCCCAGGCAATATCTTCCTCCCTCCCTCCCTCCCTTCTTTCTTTCATAAAACCTTCCTTCCTTCCTTCCTTCCCTCCCTCTCTTCATTCTTTCCTCCCCTTTTCCTTTCTCTCTTTCCCTCTTTTCTTCTATCCTTCCCTCCTTTCTTTCTTTTTTTTCTTCTTTGTCCTTCTTTCTCCATTTCCTTTCTACCTTCCTCCCTCCTACCTTCCCTTCCTTTCTCTCACCTTCCCTCCATTCTTTCCTTCCTTCCTTCCTAGAGGGAGATTATTTATTATAAGTACCATAGCATTTGAAGTTGAACTTTGACTTAATTGTCATAGGACTTTTCATCATTATATTATTATACCAACATATATACATATTATTCATCAGCAGATATTGAGTATGGTATTTAATTCTGGCAGTCCACATTGACTTGAATTTATAAAGCAAAAAAAAATCCATCATAAAGTACATAATAGAAACAATTTTTCAAGAAAGTGATGGAAGAAGTAATTAAAAACCTTGGCAGTTGGTGGGGAGGGGCAGACACTATAACATGGGGCCCATCTCGCCTTTTGAAGCTACCTGTTAGAGTGAATGCCGGCTGTTTAGTGAATGCTGACAGTCACTGGTTATTGTTAACATTCAACTTCAGACCTTCCATAGTGACCTCTGTGAATGACAGCTTGAGGTTTTTTTAGGAGATACATGTATGTGTCAGAAGAAGAAACTATTTCAGTCACTGGTAAGTATCAAGGCATTGCCATTTGTCAGGAAGAATCATTCAGTACTGTCAACAAATTGTTAGCTACAATTTTCTCAAATTGCTTTAAACTTTTTTAGAATGTCTTGTGTGTCATTTGGAAAATGGCCTTTTCAAACCTAAATGCATGGGTATGTGTGTATATCCTCAAAGGATACACACACACACACACACACACACACACGCCTATTTTATATATATACTTACATATATATATTTATACGCACACTTATCCATCTATATATTTTATATATATACTTATATACATATATTTACACACACACATACATATACATACATACATACATATATATGTAATATATATATATATAAATCTTCCTGATCTGTGAACACCTCATGAAGAAACTCCTTCTATCAGTGTAGATTAACAGCAGAACCCAGATCTTGGGGTTGTGAGACTCAACCCACTCTACCATGCTCTCTTTATAGCTGACATGCCTTTTTTTTTTCTGGAGCTATAAATTGTAGAAGAAAACAAGTCTTTGGAATGAGGTGTACTTAATGTTTACATATGTACATATATTAGATATCTAGAAATAGATATATAATCTCTATTCCGTTAAATGTTTTCTTCTGTATGTTGCTGAATCCCTTATTGTTTATCACCACACTTTCTAGAATAGTGAAGTCCTAACTTTAAAAAAAAACAATTCTGGTCCCTATTTTAGAAATTTTATGTTTCCTTCTTCCCAACATGCTATATGGTTTTCGTTTAATTTTTTTTTTAAGAGCAGCTGTGAGATAGATCAGGTCTCCCAGGCTCATCACAGTCCAAATTATAAGGGAATGTATACCCACTGTAGGTGGTCATCTGTGGGCGAAGTGTATATCTCAATTAGAGGACAGAGCTTGTGGGCATTAGGGATATTTGAAATAATTACATTATGTATATACTATATGGGTGGCTAGGTAGCACAGTGGAGAGAGTGCCTGGCCTGGAGTCAGAAAGACTCATCTTCCTGAATTTAAATCTGGCCTCAGACACTTACTAGCTATGTGGCCCTGGGCAAGTCACTTAACCCGATTTGCCTCAGTTTTCTCATCCGAAAAATGAGCTGGAGAAGGAAATGGCACCCCAGTAATCTTTGCCAAGAATAATTCAAGTGAGATCACGAAGAGTTGGACACACCTGAAAAAACGATTGAACAATAATAACAATAGTGTATTATATACGGATACATATATACGCTCACATACAAAGTATCCCAAATGCAAGGATATGTGTATAATTATTGCTATCTGTAACTAACCAGTTTGTGACAAAGAGAATGCGGCTTTATCTGAAAGACAGTTTACTAAAATGGTCGTTTGGAGCACAGGAAAGAGGCCAAACAATGCTAAGGGTATTTAACCATTTTGGGGAGTTTGGTCCAGACATGTGATTTCAACAGAACCTCCTAGCTGTACAAATGCAGATCAGAACCTTCTCTGCAGCTGACAGCCATGGAGACATTGAAGGCAGCTAGCATGTATCAGAAACAGGACTTTGAAGCTGGTTAGTCTGGCCATCATCAAAGTTCAGTCCTGTGTAACTCACTTCCCTCCTAGTGGTAAAGTTGACCATGATTTTGCACATTATCATATATAATCACTCCCTGGCTTTATTTTAGTGGTTTATCTTTATTATTTTGAAGGTGTCTATTGGAAGAATATGGTTATGTCAAGAAGTAACTATGAACAGAGGACAGCCCTATAAAAAGAAAAGAAAAACCTCAGAATATGGAATTGTATTTATCATCCAATTTTTATGCTGCAGATAATGTGATATTAGGCCATCCTCCAACAGAAAGTGCTCAAGTTTAAATGCTATATCTATAGTACTAAATATATAGTAATCTATTTTAAACTAGATATGAATTTCAGGGATTTATCCATTATAATATAGTCTGCCACTTTAAAATAGTCCTAACAAGTGATTCCTTGAGTCTCATTTATAATAAAGATTAAAATGTAATTAAGAAGTGAATAAGAAGGCAAAGAGAAGCCTCTTGTTGCTCTTCATTCATTGTAATTGAGATTTTTCAATCCATCAGAGAGAGGGGAAAAGAGATTTTTGTAGACAATGGACTACGTAGCCGGTCCCTTATACGATGAACATTTCCTCCTGAAATCTTTTGAGATACAATTTTGTTCTGAGGCCCTTTGAGTTTATCCAAAGTAGGAAAGGAGAGCAGAATAGTGGTATGGGATCTCATCTCAATGTTGGGATATTTTTTTCCATTTAACCTTTCCATTTTCATCTAGTTTCACCCAGAAAAAAAAATTAAAGAAGAAGTGGGGCTTAATTTCCTAACCATTACCATTATGGTGAGGTAGTGTGGAAGAAAATAAGACCTTGAAAGGAGGTAGACTCTGAGGATTTGTGAGAAGCAACTTCAATTTTAAACATACTGTAACTTAATCACTTGGTCAAATGAAATGGATAGACCTGTAATAAGTCATAAACTCAGATTTTAGCTGAACTAATTTTTTAAAGATTAAGATTCACCGGATATATATTGATAATCTATATTCCAGATTTCCTAATAGGAGCCCATAAACAATAGAAGTTATGTTAATTTAGTGCTTATACTGGCGATTCCAGAGAAAATAAACAGTTGGTCACATTTCTTTTTAATAAAGTCTATCATCCTGACATTAGTATTTCACAATATTTATTTCCCATTATGAGCTTTATGTTCACTTGGGGCAAGATTTGAAGGTGGAAATTTTCATAATGTGTACTTCATTGTGTGTTTTTAGTTAAACTGATAAACCTGAAATCAATAATGCTCAATTTTTAATATCTAAATTAGTATTTCCACATTGCCCTTTTAATGTCCTAGATTAAATTGGTTAAGAGCTTTGGGTTTTTTTAGTTGCTGCTTTTTAAAATTTGCTACTAAACTGAGAAACTCAGATCCTGTCTTTGATCTTAGATAGATACGATTTGGATAAATGAATCACTAAGAATAACAATTCTACCTGTAATAATGACAGGCAGCTAGGAATAGCGGTAGAGAACCTGCTTTTGGAGTCTGGAAGACATGAATTCTATTCCTACTTTGAAAACAAACCTGTTGTGGGACCCTGAGAAATTTACTTAATCTCAGTGTCCCAGGCAGCTCTCTAAAACATTGCAAAGAAGGTACTGGCCTGCATTAAGAAAGGAGATGCCTCACTTTCTACACTAATGAAATCAAGGTTCTGGTCCAAAGAAAAACTCAGAAGTATCTGGACTAGGTTAGTACTTTTGCTCTGAAGATGCACCTTTCCTCTGAAAAGCTCCAGGCATCTACACATTAAACAAATTGTTCTCATCTGATGAGATAAGTTGGGGTAGCTATCTTTTTGAAAAAAAAAATAGATATGAAAAAAATAAGACTTAGGAAGAGGAAGGTAACAGCCAACTCAACCTAGACAGGGATGGGGAACCTGCAGCCTTGAGGCCACATGTGGTCCTCTAGGTCCTCAAGTGGGGCCCTTTGACTGAATCTGAACTTCACAGAACAAATCCCCTCAATAAAAGCATTTGTTCTGTGAAGTTTGGATTCAGTCAACAGGCCGCACTTGAGGACCTGGAGGGTGAAAATGCAGGTCTGGCCTATTCTGCTCCCATAAGTTGGGTGGAATAGATTAATAAAAACAGCCAATTTATTCTTCCCAGTCTTCACCTCCCTCTCTCACCAACAGTCAGATTTCTGCTTCTCCTAAGGTTAATATTTCTCCTTCAGCTCTCTTTGAATGTCAGGTCAGCTGAGTTTTTTTAGGGAGTACTTCTTGGACTCCCCCTTTGGGGTGACCCACACGAGATGTCCATCCGACCCTGGAAGGTCAGATGTCCATCCCACTGGCACAAAGATCTGTGTTACAGATAAAAATAGCCTGTGTTCCCCATCAATCCAGCTGGAATTCAACTGTGGAAAGGCTGAAAAAGTGAGAATGAGATAGTTTTCTTTTTTCAGTCTTCACTTATCAGTTCCCATGCTCTCTCTCCCATTTTCTGTACTTATCCATATGCACACACATGTACACACACACACACACACACACACACACACACCCTATAGTGAGTTAATATTTTCAGATCTGATGCTGGAAGTCATTTGCCTTTGCTCCTACCCCACTTCTCTCCCCATTCTTTTTAGATTTAAATGAATGCGGTCTGAAGCCCCGGCCCTGCAAGCATCGTTGTATGAATACTTATGGCAGCTACAAGTGCTACTGTCTGAATGGGTACATGCTTATGGCAGATGGATCTTGTTCAAGTATGTCAATATTCCTTTTCCTCTCCCCCCCCCCTTTTCTGGAAGGGTTCTTGGCTTGTTTTTTTTTTTTTTTTTTATGGTACTTCAAATACTTTGTGAGAGTCTCCTCATTCTATCTCAAGAGAAACTTGCATATTTCAATTTGCTTGCTGTTTCAATGTAGATATTGGCTTAAAATTGAAATTGGAGGCACTCGGAATAAATGTATAGCATTATCTTATTGTAAGTGGCCATTTAAAATTGATGTGGTGGATATCTTGGTACTTTAGTGCAATCCACACAAGAATAGAATTAAATTTGGTCATGACATTTCCCAAACAAATATCTACAATTCTCTACCCTTCCTTTCCTTTCTTTAGCTATTCTTTATAAAGCTGGGCAGCAATCTCTTGCTATGTGTCAGACAACCTGAATGCTTGCTAACTATAAATCACAATTTTGTGTTTTACAGAAATTGTAATTGTGGTTACAAAGAAATTGTACCTCCACAATTCTAACTCTCCCTATTATCTTGTCAAGAGGCAGATTGATGTAATAGATGGAAGGCTGACCTCGAAGTCTGATTTCCAGTCCTGCTTCTGATATGTATTGGTCATGTAACCTTGGACAAGTAACTTAAACTCTCAGCCTCCCAGGACACTTAACTAGATGTGGCAGAGCAGGTGTTAATCTGCTTTGATAATTAATTAATAATCGGCTTTGATCCCTACATTGATAAAACCATAGGTTTAACCAAAAAAAAAAAAAGAAGAAAGAAAGAAAGAAAGAAAGAAAGAAAGAAAGAAAGAAAAAGAATAAAAGTCATCTTCTTATAGATGATTACCTTGAATGGGAATAATAAGGTCTTTACTTCCTCTAGCATTTGGGGTTTTTTTTTTTCTGAGCTCTAAATACAGCCCTCTGGGTCTATACCACCCCAAGCAACTGACAGGGCTGTTTATTTTCACTGAATTGACTATGTAGATTAAAACAAACAAACAAACACCTGACTAAACAAATGTAGCTGATATAAAAACTGGAGTCCTTATCCCAAATTCCAATTGCTTCCTTAAAGCAAGACTACAATATATCCCCTCGGGCTCTTGAGGGTAGCCCTGAGGGATTGGGTGTTGTCTTTCTAATGGCAAGGACACAAAGCCCCTTTCTGATGTGTTTTCCTCAATGTGAATCTCTAATTATAACAAATATCTCCCTTATATCACTAACATATCCCAGTGAATATCACTCCAGTATCTTTGAACTAGTTAATATCGATTAACTTTTACAAAGGGATATTTATTGAGAAGATGCTACAATAACAGAAATTATGAACTGTTTCCCCTCCTGACTTGGGAGGCACACTCTCCCTTATTACCACCTCAGTCTCTGGAGAGAATAAACACAACCTTAAAGTAGTTGCTACAAGACATTCAGCCCACCAAATTCACTTCTAAATGAGTCATAGCCAATGGAGGAGTTACTGATGCTCCTTCTAGGTTGCCTTCCATTGCTGCTGTGCTGGGTGAAATGAATTACTAGGAGCTTGACTCAGCTGTCCACAAAATCTGGTATGGATTTAAGCTTTTAGACCTCTGGTGACTGACTCTCACAAACTTAATGCTCACTAGGTTTCAGCCTAGTCTAATAATTCTTTATCTTAAAACAGCAAAGAAGAAATAGAGAGAGGCAAAGAACAAAGGTCCATGTTCTCAGGTTACATGTCAGCCCAAGTGGAGAGGGTCCAGCACCTCTCTCCACCCGTAAATTTTCAGTAGAGCTTTCTCACTTGAATTAGTCAGGCAGCTAAGAGTGGGAGACAGGCACATCTTGTCTTATTAGTGTCTTTTAAATATACTCCCAGTTTGGGGTCAGGTGGACTGAAAAGTTATAGAATATTCTGCAGTCCATGTAAGCTTTGCATCAAACTACACATGGTTGTAAGGGTTGGCTTCAGTCTTTGTTACACAGTGGATAGATAGTCAGCAGTTTTGGCACAGTGTAGAGGTAACATGAGGTTTTCTTGGAATGAATGACTGTCTCAGGAACAGTGACCCTAGAATGAGACTGGGCAGGTTACTGGGGAAACCCTCATAGGAGCATTTGTTTCTATACCTTGCTAGAAAAGTGAATCAGGCATGTGAGATAGTAGCCTGGAGAAAAGGGGAGAAATATTCCTGGGCTATCCAGATGACTGGTTCCATGCATTCTCCTTTTTGCATGGCCCATGGAGATCTGATCTGCAAGTCCTTTAGATAAAAAAAACCTCATGTTTTATTTCTCCAGAGTCCCCCAGGGACCTACGTCAATTGGAGTGGGGTCCATTTTCTTCTCTCACCTTGTATGAACAAGTATCTGTTTCGTTTTAGGTGCCCTGTCATGTTCTATGGCGAATTGTCAGTATGGCTGTGATGTGATGAAAGGTGATGTGCGTTGCCGCTGTCCTTCCCCAGGCTTACGGCTGGGGCCAGATGGGAGGACCTGTGTGGGTGAGTGTGAAAACGGGAATGGGAAACAGAGGGAACTTGTATGTACTTGTATGAATGCATCATAACTAGTTAAAGAAAAAGAGGAAATCATGGCTTAAATCTATATGCACAAAGAGCTACATAATTCAACAAGTTTATTAATTGTCTGCCATGTACAGAACTATGTACTTTGTATATCTGCGAGTACTCATGGATTTCATGATTTCAACGTGGGAGTCCTCAGCCTCAGAGCAGGGGATTCCCATAACTGATTCAGTGGTTAAGATCAAATGAGATAATATTTATAAATTACTTACCACAGTGCCTGGCAGGGCATCCAGGTGGCACAGTGGATAGAGTGCCAGGCCTGGAGTGAGGGAGACTCATCTTTCTGAGTTCAAATCTGACCTCAGACACTTACTAGCTATGTGACCCTGGGCAAGTCACTTAACCCTGTTTGCTTCAGTTCCTCCTTTGTAAAATATGTTGGAAAACGAAACGGGAAACTAATGTGGTATCTTTGCTAAGAAAACCCCAAATGGGGTCCTGGACATGGCTGAAATGACTGAACAACACACAGTGCCTGGCACATACAATAGGTACTTAATAAATGCTTATTCCCTAGACAAGCATATCAGGTTAATTGACTTATGCAAATTGGTCAGTTCATCAATGAGTATTTAATAAGTCCCTGCTATATACAGGCACTGTACTAATCACTCAGGTTGCAAAGACACTCCCATTCTCTCTAGTCTCACGTGGTATCAGAGGAAAGATTTGAACTCTGGTCTTCTTGAAGTTTATCACTCTATCCACTACTCTAAACTTCCTCTATGCACTTTGTGTGTTTCTACGTACTTAATATATGAGTGAATGAATGGCATAGCTGTGAACTAAACCTTGTCATTACACATAAGACTATTATTTCAATTATGGACAGTTCAGATCTTTTAAAAAAAATTGCTCATTTTAGAAAGATCTTTGATCTCATCACTGTGGACACTTCCTCTACCAATACAGATTGCAACCCCTCTATGCCTTAGTGTAGACAGTTTCATGACTAACTGTGGCCAAAAAATTTCATCATCTGGTGGTCAGTCTTCAAGGGGTGAGCCTGCTGGAACATATTCAAACTGGTGTCTCAAAAGATGCATAATCTGACCCTTTTGCCTCTACAAACAGGCTTTCTCTCCTCAGCAGATTTTGCTAAGGTTCAGGTTCCCCTGGCAAAGCCTTCAAGAATGCCCAAGGGTACCTTCCATGCTGTGCTGAAGCATCAGAGCAGGACTTCGGTAGAGGATATATATTCTGAATTAAGCAACTTCAGTCCTCTCTATTTATGAAGTCATATTGTTTGCATTTCTAGATGTGGATGAATGTGCAACTGGGAGAGCTTCCTGCCCCAGATTTAGGCAATGCGTGAACACCTTTGGAAGCTACATCTGCAAGTGCCATAAAGGTTTTGACCTCATGTATATTGGAGGCAAATACCAGTGTCATGGTAATGAAATTCAGTCCTCGTGTTACTTGTTGTGCAAGGGTCTAGGAACAATATACATATAAATATAAACATATACATATATGCATATATATATTTGCTTGTGTAGCATGATCATTTTCTCTTGCTGATTTTTTGGGTCGTTTTACTATGTAAAATTTGAAACATATAAAGAGAATCTTTTTAGCCCTTCTCATTTGTCTCTTCACTAAATAGATTCATTGCCTTTTTCTGTCCTAGATATAGATGAATGCTCTCTTGGTCAGTATCAGTGCAGCAACTTTGCCCGATGTTACAACGTATACGGGTCATACAAATGTAAATGTAGGGATGGCTACCGGGGAGATGGCATAAACTGCATATGTAAGTCATACTTACCTTTTTATCCTGAGTTTCCACAACAAATAAAACACAGAAATAATCTACTCAGAAAGATGGGAAAGAAGGTCTTTTATCTAAGACTCTAAATTTCAGAGGGGCAGGTAGGTGATGCAATGGATAGAATGCCAGGTCTGGAGTCAGGAAGACTCATCTTCCTGAGTTCAAATCTGGCTTTAGACATGTACTAGCTATATGACCCTGGGTAAGTCACTTGGTCCAGTTTGCCTCAGTTTTCTCCTCTGTAAAATGAACTGGAGAAGGAAATGGCAAATCATTATAGTGTCTTTGCCAAAAAAAACCCAAATGGGGTCACAAAAAGTCTGAACAACTGAACCACAAAGTAAATTTCAGCTCTACACAGCCAACAACAATATTGTTCTGATGTTCATAAGAACTAAAGTCACCCAATATTGTTTTATAAATAAGAAAAGATGTAATATTGCATCCAAGATTAAAAAGCATCTCAGCTTGCCTGACTACATTATTTTGGCTACAGAGTCTTAGCTTTAGGAATCTAATCCTTAGAATTAGGAAGGTGAATTCTGTGACAAGTGAAAGCTGTAAATTAGATTAACATTTAATTCAGAAATTTCCTGTGTCATTGGCATTTAGACTCTGCTGAAGTTAGACCTGGATGTGTAGCACTGTGGTACTCTTGTGCTCAAGCTTTAACTCCCAGCCTTTCTTACGTGTATAGCATTCCTTTAATCATCATTTTCTTTGCTTGTTGGAGCTATGAAATTTGTAAGCAGATTTAAGATGAAGAATGAGAAGGGCTTAGAGCTGTTGTATTGAGAGTCAATGACTGTCTTAATAGGTGTACTTCCTTGACTTTGTCATCTTTTTCGTGTGATTTCCCCCTCCAATGATGCTGTTTCCATCCCAGCCATGCCTGCCCATGCTGGGCAATCTTCTTAGCTACGTTCTCCCATCAATTCACCGTAGAGGGTCTACTCAGTGGGCAAGGGACTTTCTTTTTTTTTCTGTTGATGTCTCAAGGTTATCTACCAATAGAAAATCAGTTCAGTTCAACTGCTATTTCTGGTATTTTAAAAACAAAAACTTTTAAAAATTATTTAGAACTTTTGTCATTGTCACTTTCATTTCCCAATACATCCCTTCTTCCCTTATCTGCTCCCCATCTGAAGAGAAAGAGAGAGAGAAGAGAGCGAGGGAGACAGAGAGAGAGATTGAGAAAGAAATGGATTATTAAAACCAACATATCAACCGAGTTCAACATTGTGTCTAGTTTCACACTCATAGTCCCCCATCTCCACAAAGGTCTAGAAGTACGTTTCTATATCCTTTCTTTGGAGTCAAACTTGATCATAACTTCATAACATTTAGTTTCAGTTTTATTTTTCTTGTTCTTCCATTTATCTCTGTTTCTGTTTCTCTATTTCTGTCTCTTATCTGTCTCTGACTGTCTCTCTCATATTAGGCAGTATATGACTATATAACATTCAGGTTTGAAAGTCCCATAAAGCAGCTGAACATACACTTGAAGTTTATCTACTCACCTGAAAGATGGCTGGACTGTAATATGAAATATTTAAATGTGGACTCTAAACCAACCTTAGTTTTTTTCATGGGTTTTTGTATTACTTGTTTTGCATTCATAGAGAATAAGTATAGAAATAATTAACATTTTTTTCAGTAAGCACAATAGAGTAACGCCTTCTGTTGTTTTTCATCCTGGAGAGAGAAATGGTTGCATGTTGATTTGATTCTTTCCTTTTTGCTCTTTCAGATATTCCAAAGGTTATGATTGAACCTTCGAAACCAGTTCATGTATCAGAAGGAAACAGTACTTTCCCAAAAGGTAGTGGAGGACATATTAATACAATTCCTGATATTGCAAGTACTAGATGGCCTCTAAGGACACCACACATTCCCACTGTTCATACTGAGAGACCTACTCCTAAGCCCCCGAGACCTACACCAAAGCCAACAACACCACTTCCACCAACCACAACTCAACTTACTACTGTCCGGATGACACCGCCACCATCAACAGCAGTGACAACACAAAGACCACAGCCCAAACCATCAACAATGGCACCTTCATTGTCAACCAAAATACCAGTGGAAAGTACTTCTCCAAGAGGAATGACGGTTGACAACAGAATACCAACAGATCCTCAGAAACCCAGAGGAGACGTATTCAGTAAGTAACATTAATAGTGTTCTGTTTCTTAGCTTCTTTGGATATCAATAGAGTTAAACCTGATGTTAAATTGAACTCATGAAAAGAATTAATTATTCAACAAAATCAATTACGGTTGCTGGTAATGAAATGTTGTAAGAACTTTACAAACAACTATTTCCCAGCTTTTCTTTTTGTCTATGAATAGAAAAAAGTGCTTAAGGCCTTAGAGATTATCCTCTAGCCATCCTGTGCAGGAATCCCTTCTACCATGTTCCTAACATATGGTAATTAAGCCTCAGGTCAAACACTTCCAGTGACCAGGAGGTAAGTTCCTTATAAAGCAGCCCATTAGAGCCAACAGTTCTAAATATTAGAAGATTTTAAATTTTTAATTGAAATCTGTTTATATATGTGTGTGTGTGTGTGTATGTGTACATGCATATATATGCATATATATGTACAACTCTTTATTTTATGATTTTTGCACTGTCATCCTGGTAACTTTGTAGAATTTACACTAAAAAGAAATTATTCATAATCACAGAAAGCTCAGACTATGAAAGTTCTCCATCTATAATCCATTATCACTGAAAAGAATCAAGGGGAGCTATCTTCTCATATCATTTCCTTGAAGAAAGATTGGGCATCAAAATTTCACAACCGTTCAATTCTGACTAGTTTTTTTTTTGTTCTTTCCATTGACGTTGGTGTAGTCATGTTTTCCTGGTTTTGTTCACTTCACTTTGCATCAGTCCATATGACTTCTTGTGGTTCTCTTTATTTATCATACTTACCATTTCTTACATCACTCCATTTATATAGCATGTTTTATTTAGCCTTTGCTCATTTAATGACATCCACTTTGTTTAATATTCTTTGCTCTGTACTACAAAAGTGCCTCTACATCAATCAATCAATCAATCTATCTATCTATCTATCTATCTGTCTATCTATCTATCTATCTATCTATCTATCTATCTATCTATCCATATTTCTCTCTCTTTATCTTTGCACCTTTTCAACTGACTGGGGAAAAGACTGGGATGGGGTGGGGGGTGGGCAGGAGATGCTGCTCTGGAAAATAGTGATGATACAGAGTTGATTTGTTTTCTGGAAGTGATTCTTACAGGGTAGTTTCTTAGAGATTTTCTTATCTGATATCAGTGTAGTTCCAAATTCTTTGCAAACTTCTGAACACACCTAATTTTGTAAGAACGTGGCTGAGATTGGAAGCTCCTGAACACCCTAATGTAACAGACCTATTGATATAGAAAGAGCTAATGATTGTGAAGACATTGCTATTAGGTTAAAATAGTTCTGTGTAAATTAAAAAACAATCTGTTGTTTGCAAGTCTGAGCAACAACTTAACTGGAACATTCCATTTTACTTACATTATCATAAATTATATATTATGGTTCCTCATCGAAGTACCTTTGTGGTACTTTGATGTATAATATAGATATATATATATAGATAGATATATATAGATATATATAGATATTATATATATAGATATATATAGATATATGTGTATTCACAATACCATATTTCACCCCGATTGGTGGACACAAAGAGGCAGTTGGATGGATGGTGAAATTTGCCATGAAAAAAGTGGGATGCACCAAATTTTGATGGGTTTTAAGATATTCATTATGAAGAGGAAATGTAATGTGAAAGTACTGCCCTGCAAAGGCATTGATCTCTCTGGTCCTCTGCCAAGTTTAGTGTATGCCATGAATAACATGACTTCATGTCATTTAGCTGCCCCTGCCAAGAAATACTCTCTTCATTTCATACTGAGCATCATAGATAGATAGATGGAGACATATGCATACATACATATATACAAACATGCATAGATGAATGGATACATACATATATGCATACACGGATTGATAGGTACATACATATGTACATACATGCATACATACATATATACATACACACATACATAGCTAGGTAGATAGATTTATTAATAAAGCAAGCATTTGTTATTTATTATGTGACAGGTACCATGCTAATACAGTGTAGCTGGTAGTTAGGTTAAGAGTATATAAGATATCAACTAGATTAGTTTTGATTACAAAACCTGCACCAGCTTCGTGGCACTCCCTTTCACTGCGGCCACTCCAGAAAAATATGTATCCAGCTCCATCTTCAGTAAGCTGGCCTTCATTTGCCTGCCTTATTTCACTCAGGGCTGCTATTTTGATGTGATACCTGATGAGTTCTCTTGCAACAAGAACTGTTTGTCTTTCAGGTTTGGATTTTGTGTTGCCTGTAAGTGTGTGCACATACCATGTGCCTATGATGAGTGGAATATCTTTGCAAATGTTTTGTATATTTTTTTTTGTGTTCACCACAAAATGGGATTCCCATCTGCCTCAGTAATCAGGCCAGAGCGTCAAGGTCAGTTAGCGCACTGATGATAAATTCTTCAATTTGAAAAGGCTACAAGCCATGACCAAAGTGGAGAGTGTTGGTGCGTGATTTTCTGTTTGCAGATGATTGTGTACTCAATGCAGACTCTGAAGCTGAGATGCAACAAAGTATGGATCAATTCTCTGCTGCTTGTGCTAATTTTGGCCTAATAATTATTGCCAAAAAAAAAAGAAAAGAAAAGAAAACACAGGTGCTCCATCTGCCACCACCACACCATCCATATTTGGAACTATTGGGTTACAACAAATGGAGAAGTTTTGAATGCTGTGGATAAGGTCACTTACCTTGATAGTGTACTTTCCAGAGATGTACATATTGATAATGAGGTTGATGCACATATCGGCCAGAGCTAGTTCAGGATTTGGGAGGCTCCAAAGGAAAGTATGGGAGAGAAGAGGTATTAGGCTGAATACCAGACTGAAGGACTACAGAGTCATTGTGCTGACCTCATTGTGAAACCTGTGAAACCTGTACAGTCTACTAGCACCATGGCAGGAAACTGAATAGCTTCCATTTGAATTGTCTTAGGAAGATTCTGAAGATCACCTGGCAAGTTAAGGTACCAGACGCTGAGGTTCTTTCTTGAACTAAACTGACAAGCATTCAACCTCTGCTTCAGAGAGCGCAATTCTGATGGGCTGGCCACATTGTTCGAATGCAAAAGTATGCTTGCCAAAAAGACTATTTTATGGATAACTCACACAGGGCAAGCATTCACATGGTGGTCAGAGGAAATGATACAAGGACGCTCTCAAGGTGTCTCTTAAGAACTTTGGAATTGATTGCATGACACGTGAGACACTCGCACAGGACTGCTCAGCATGGCACACCCTCATTGGAGAAGGTGCTGTGCTCAATGGGCAAAGCAGAATTGAAACAGCTCAAAGGAAATGCAGGATGCGCAAATTTAGAGAATCCACCCCAAAAGTTCACACGGACTATTTGTGCCCGACCTGTGGTAGAACATTCCGAGCTCCTGTTGGTCTGATCAGCCAGTCACACCCACTGAAACCTGACTCTAGCATAGCGACGTCATTTTGGTCCTTTTCAAGAACAAAGGACTACAACTACCATGTAAGATATCAGTTCTCCTTCATTTCAGGGTTTCTTAGCATGCAGCAGATATTCAAAACAGAGGAATTCTTTTTTTTCCTTCAAGGTAGATGGAGAACTGCTGTCCATAGAGCTGTAAAATATTAAAAGGCCTTTCTCCCCAGTTCTTTCTCCCCCCAGGGACCTTAGAGATTTAGTCTAATCTCCAGGTTTTACAGACTGAGAAAGGGAGGTGACATGACTTGCCTCCAGTCACTTAGCTGGTTAGTGGCAGGATCAGCCCTCCTGACTGCAGGAATGTTATAGTCATGCTGCTCATGGGCATTCAGGGTTTCCCTGGACTCTTTCAAATATTGCATGCATGCATGCGTGACATTGCATTCCTCCAGTCTGCAGTGAGGGGGTGGGAATGCAAAGGTCAGCCTCAGGTTTTCTAAATAATATGAGGGTTTTGGAGATTATAAAGATATCTGGGGATGAATTGTAAGGATAAAAAGAAAATTACTGAACTAAAACAGTTCAGAAGCTGGAGAGGGGAGAAGGGGAATCCATTATCTAATCTAATTTTCTTCAAAAAGTGAGATTTAAGAATTTGATTTAACCTGAAAATGATTTAACCTTTAAGAAGTATTCTTTTCTCCTCTTTTCCTGGAGCATGTTGTCTGACTTTTCTTCTTTTGCCAGCATCTCTCCCTACCTTGTACTATACTTGTAACGGAAAAACTAAATGAGTGATAAAGAAACATGTGCCAAGCACTGTGCTAAGATTTGAGGATAAAAATACAAAAGTGAGGGGCAAGAGAGGAGACTTACTTATATGATAGGAGGTGGGATTGAAAAGGCCCTGCCATAGAAGGCCTGAAATTCCTATTAGAGTCACTAATGGGTCAAACCAAAAAGAAGGTGTAGGGTATTGTATAAAGAAGACCACAGTAGGGGCAGTCAGGTGGCACAGTGGATAGAGCGCTGGCCTGGAGTCAGGAGGACCTGAGTTCAAATCCAGCCTCATACACATAACACTTACTAGCTGTGTGACCCTGGGCAAGTCACTTAACCCCATAGCCTCGCCAAAAAAAAAAAAAAAAAGACTGCTGCTAAGCATATCTTATCCTAAAGTGGTAGATTAATAAAATTCCATTAATTGCAGTTATCCCATTATTATTAACAGCAACAACAACAATAATAGTGTTCATATAATACTTTAATATCTTCAAAGCACTGTCCCTCTATTATTTCATTTGATCCTTATAACAGCCCTGTAAGGTAGGTGCTATTTTATCCCCACTTTACAGGTGAAGAAACTGAGACCAAGAGAGAATAAGTGATTTGCCCAGGATTACACAACTAGTAAGTATTTGAGATAGAATTCAAACTCAGGTCTTCTAGACTTCAAATCAAACACTCTATGCATTGTGCAACCCAGCTCCCACCGCCACTAACACCGTTGCATGTATTAGATCAACAGATTGACTGTTCAGATATTGGTAAACCAATTTAAAGGAGAGGTAAATTTGGAAGGTAG